ACTTCAATACAATCAATATTCCTTCATGGTATCAAGAGCCAGAAAACCCAGATCTTCTTTTCTCTAGGTTTTTTTTCTCTCTTTAGGGCACCGATCGTTCCCTCTCTTCTCTTGGGCGGCGGCAGCCATGACAACCGAGGTGGATCCTCTCGATTCACTTCCCTCTGGCGTTAAGCTCCTTCTCAGGCATCTTCATGCCCTGATTCCCGAAAAATTATCAAACATAAATTACCCTACATGAAAAATCACCGTTCTTACAGCCCTTGAGGCCAATTACCTTCTCAAATACATCGATGGAAGCACAGAACCACCGCCGGCAGTCATCACCGCCACGGACAGATCAGAATAAACCAATCCGGCCCATGCCGCCTGGAAAGTCGTGGATGGTCAAATCCGATCATGTTTGATTGCGGTCATCTCTCCCATGGTTAAGAAACACGTCCGATCCTACACAACTGCTTCAGCCCTGTAGACGGCCCTCGCAACACGCTATGTATCAATTTTTCACTCTCATATTTTTCAATTGCGTGATCATCTCCACACAATTACCAAAGGCACGAAAACTATGGTGGATTATTTAGACGAGGTCTCCACCATCATCACAGCCCTCGACACCGTGAACGAAATCATTCTCGAAAAAGATCTCGTCATGTGCGTCGTTTGGGGGCTCCCATCAGCTTACTCCTCCATTAAACAGGCGGTTCACATCAGTCCAACGCCCGTTGACCTGGCTACTCTCTCCTCGTGGCTAAAAAGTGAAGAAATCAACGTGGATCTGGAGAGCAAACTTCTTCTTCGAGAAGCCGCTGTTATGGAGCCGGCCACCGCCCTCACCGCAAGCCAGAACTATCGTGGGGGGCGTGGTGGCGACCGGCAGGGGAGCCGCGGCGGCTACAGAAGAAACAGCGGAGGCCGCGGGCGCGGCGGTCGGCAGGGCAGTCGTTCGTCGTACGACGGTCAGCAGCACGGTAGCAACAACATCCTGCACTCCTTCAGCAGCGGCGGGCAGTCATCTTCCAGCGGCGGGCAGGGCACTTACGAGCGGGATCGTCCAACTTGTCAAATCTGTCAGAAAACAGGACACATCGTTGTTCGTTGCTGGTTTCGGTATAAGGAGAGCCGAAATAGTGATAACCGTGCCAATTATGCATCTCAAGCCGGCCCTTCCTCTGAATGGTTGTTGGATACTGGGGCCAACATGCACGTTACTTCTGATCTATCCAAGCTTAACGCTCCAAATCCATATCATGGCTCCAATGGTATTACTGTTGGCAACGGTGAGTCCCTTAATATTTCTCACACTTGCACGGGTACCATTAAAAACCCCACCGCTATCTTTCACCTAGGTAACCTTACCCACGTCCCTTCTATTAAAACCAATCTCCTTTCAGTTCACCAATTCACAAAAGACAATAATTGCTCACTCTTGTTCACCTCTAATGATTTTCAGATCCTAGACAATACTACCAAGAGGGTGATTTTTCAGGGCCCCTGTGAGCATGGTCTGTACGTTCTTCCTGGCACAAGTGTGTCTGCCCACCCAGTTTCAGAAAGCATTCCTGTGGCTCCAGTGGCTCTTTCGGCTGATGGCCACAGTCTGTTGTGGCACAGTCGTCTGGGTCACCCGTCTACTCAAACAATAAATTCTTTAATGTCTCAATTAGGTTTTTCTTCCATTCAGGTAAACAACTGTGACTCCTGTTCAATTGCTAAATCTCATAAATTACCTTTTACTTTATCTGAGAAGCGTACAACTGCACCTTTTCAACTTATTCATTCTGACCTATGGGGTCCTACTGTTGTTCCTTCATTTGCTGGTTTTTGCTATTATATTTGTTTTGTGGATGATTTTACAAAATACACTTGGTTGTACCCACTAAAACACAAATCATAGGCATACACCACCTTTGTCACTTTTGAAAAAATGGTCAAAACACAATTCAATTCTCATGTTAAACTTTTTCGAAGTGACAATGGAAAGGAATATGTAAATAACATCTTTGGCTAGTTTCTGCAATCCCTGTGAATTATACATCAAACATCCTGTCCATACACTCCCGAACAGAATGGGGTGCCTGAGCGTAAGCATCACCATCTCATTCAAACGGTGGTTACTCTTCTACATCAATCTCATCTCCCTGTCTCCTTTAGGGTAGAAGCTCTAGCCATCGCAAACTACCTCATTAACAGAATGCCCAGCCACACCCTCTCCAACAAATCACCCTATCAACTCCTTTACCAAGAACTTCCCAATTATACCAACCTCCGCGTCTTTGTGTGTCTTGCCTACCCTTGGCTACGCCCTCATATTACTCACAACAACCCCGATCCCGTCCTTGTATTTTTTTGGGCTATCATCCTACCTCCAAGGGTTATCGCTGTCTTGACCCATAAACTCATAAAGTCTACATATCTCATCATGTCAAAGTTGTCAAAAATGAGTTTCCCTACGAGTTTATTTCCTCCTCCACAAATACATCATTCATTGGCGTCCTTCCCCTTTTTCCAACATACTCACAGCGTCCCTCACCACCTCCTTCCACAGCTCCACCCACTACCCAACCACCCCTCATCACCCCTTCGACCGTCACCCACAATACACCCGCAACCACCACCCACACTCACAACCAACCCGAACAACCCCATACCCACAACATCTCCAGCCCGATCCGTTTTGGGTCCTTCCCAGCCACCCCCAAATCACCACCGCCCGTGCCACCCCCCAATACTCATCCCATGTTAACCCGTGGCAAAGCCGTTATCTTTAAACCCAAAACCTTTCAGGCTACCATACTACCAAATACACCCCTTCCCAATAGTGAACCAACAACCTACTCTGTTGCCTTAAAAAATGCTTATTGGCGTCATGCTATGGATGACGAGTTTAAGGCTTTGACTGATCAGAAAACTTGGGTTCTTGTACCTAAGCCCCGTGGACGGCACCCAGTGGGCTGTAAATAGGTGTACAAAATTAAAATCAATGCAGATGACAGTATTTCCAGGTACAAGGCTCGTTTGGTTGCTAAAGGATACAATCAGTAGTATGGGCTTGATTACTCCGAGACATTCAGTCCTGTTATTCGGCAGGAAACCATTCGCCTGGTACTGTCACTCGTCGTGCGCAACAATTGGCTCATCAATCAGTTGGATGTTTTCAATGCTTTTCTTCATGGCATGCTTGATGAAACTATCTACATGACGCAACCACCGAGCTATGTTGATCCCCGCTTCCCTCAACATGTTTGCGAATTCCAGAAGTCTCTGTATGGGCTCAAGCAAGCCCCCCATGCTTGGTACACACGTCTGAAAACGTTTCTCCAGGGACTTGGCTTCACGTGTTGCGTACATGACACGAGTCTGTTTACTCGACATTTAGCACACGGTACAGTCATTCTTCTTGTCTATGTAGATGATATTATTATTACAGGCTCTACTGCAGCTCTCATTCAGGATGTCACTCGAGCTATGCATACTACCTTCAAAATGAAGGACCTTGGCCCGTTACATTATTTTCTGGGAATGGAGGTTGTTTCTCGGACAGGCAGCGGCTTGTTTCTTCATCAGTCAAAATATGCTCGAGATCTGTTGCAGACAGCTGAACTGGAAAAATGCACCAGTCAACCAACACCGATGGCAGTCTCTTCGTCTACGAATGGAGCCGACACCCCCTTTGCTGATATCACCCACTTCCGCAGCCTCATTGGGGCTCTACAGTATCTGGCCATTACCCGTCCTGACATCCAGTTTGCTGTCAACCGAGTTGCTCAGCGCATGCATCAACCAAGTGAACATGATTACCATTGTCTAAAACGCATTCTCAGGTACATTTTTAGCACTCTTAGTCGTGGTTTACTCATTCGACTCGGGGACTTTGAGCTTCGGGGGTTCTCAGATTCAGATTGGGCGAATGATAAAAATGACAGAAAATCTACATCGGGGTTTCTCGTTTTTTGGGGCCGAACCTGATCTCCTGGTGTACAAAAAAACAACCCAAGGTCTCTCGGTCCTCGGCTGAAGCTGAATACCCGCGCCATTGCTCTTCTCGCTGCTGAGATCATGTGGGTCACATATATTCTTCGCGAACTCCGCGCCACTCACATTGTTCCTGCTCTCTATTGTGACAACAAATCAACCATCTGTGTGGCCAACAATTCTGTCCTACACACCAGAATGAAGCATGTTGATACCGATTGTCTCTTTATACGCGATGAAGTTCAGGCCAGCACCATGACTGTGCAGTATGTACCCACTGAAGAACAACCGGCTGATATTCTCACCAAGCCTCTCCCGAGCCGACAGCACGAATACCTCAGTTCCAAGCTTCCGTTCGCTTCCGCTCAGCTCAGCTTGGGGGGGGGATAATAACAGATAGTATTAAATAAATAATATTAAGTAATATTAGTATTTACTGTGTACTAATCCTAGTCCTATTAGAATTAGTACTCCTTAATCCTAGTCCTATTAGGATTAGTACTCCTTCCTATATCTCCTATATATATCTCCCATGTATTCCCTTATTAGGTTAACACTTCAATACAATCAATATTCCTTCACTATAGCACATTTGGAGGGTAATGTATTTGTTCTCTATAAAAGGGAGGACAATTCTTCAGTCTAAGTACACCAAAAAGAATTACAAAGGAGAGAAAATAAGAGTGAGGCATCACAGAGGAAAATAATCTGTGAGGAAAAATATAGAGTGTGAGCGATATTGTAGTGAGGTGGAAAAATCAAAATAGTGTTATTTCTTTTGAATGTGTAGTGGTCTTTGGAGTTTTACTCAGACATACAAGTGTAAAATCCTTACTAAAGTGATATTTGTTGCTCCTCTCGGGTTGTGGTTTTTCCCTTATTTAGGAGGGTTTTCACGTAAAATCTTGGTGTTATTATTTCTCTTTTATTCTCGTTGATTAACCGCATTGTTGTGTTCCGCATTTATTGCCTTTATTACCGCAAATATTATTTCTGTTACGGATTTATTCCCAACAATTGATCTCCAGGGTCTCACTCGCAAACTCAAGGATCTTTCAAAGGTATTTGATGAATTTCTTGAGAGGATTATTAATGAGCATGTCGAGTATCATGATCGGGATCAAACTAAGGACTTTGTGGACACAATGATGGACATAATGCAATCTGGAGAAGCAGAATTTCAGTTTGACCATCGTCATATAAAAGCTATCCTCTTGGTATGTACTTTCATCCCATTTATAAGTCATATATACTGGTATAATCTTAATATATCACAAATTCCCCTGTTCCTTTTATGTACAGGACATGCTTCTGGCTGCGATGGACACTACAGCATCAACAGCAGAATGGATACTCACCGAACTTCTTAGGCACCCCTAAGTAATGAAGAAACTCCAAAATGAGTTGCAAGAAGTGGTAGGCCTTGAAAGGATGGTGGAAGAATCAGACATGGAGAACTTAAACTACTTAAACATGGTTGTAAAATGAGGGCCTCAGGCTGCATCCTGCTGTGCCACTATTTTTTCATGAGGCCATGGAAGATTGTGTAGTCGATGATCTCCACATACAAAAGGAAACCAGAATCATAATAAATTGTTACGCGATTCATATGGATCCAAATGTTTGGCCTGACCCTGAGAAGTTTTTTCCTGAGAGATTTGTTGGGAGCAGTATAGATTTTCGTGGACGCGAACTTCAACTTTTACCATTTGGCTCTGGGTGAAGAAGCTGTCCTGGAATGCAGTTGGGAGTTACCATTGTCCGCATTATGGTGGCACAATTGGTGCATTGCTTTGAGTGGGAGCTTCGAAAATGGTATTGACCCTTGTGATTTAGACATTGATGAGAAGTTTGGGATGGTAACATGCAGAGAAAAGCCTTTGCTGGCTATTCCTACTTATAGACAAAAAAAATGATACAAACACAATACAATGCAATGTTAAGTATTTCTATACTTTAACATCTTATTACAAGAAAACATTGAAAGTTTCTACTATATGATTTTGTGATTGTTGTGTTCTTCCCCTGCTATACCTAATAAAATTCCTATTCCAAATGTCTCATTGTACATACAATTGACCTGTTCTCTCTTGTTTCCTATTGATAAATGTGTTTTAACAAGTTGAGAGATGAAAGTTCCTAACAGAAGAATCGTCACTGTCACGATCCAATTTCCCTAGGTCGTGATGATACCTAACTATCCCACATCAAGCTAATCATAACCAAATAAGCGAACAATGACATAAATAATATGTCAAGAATACAGTGGTACGTCTAGCAATCTCAAGGCTCAAACTAATATTCAATATCATAAGTCATGAGAAAGTAAAAAGAAATAAACATTTGGCAAAGGAAATATATCAAAGCTAGTCCAGAATACATAGTATATGGCCTGTTCTATTTTGGGTTTTAATGAATTAACAAATTGAATACGACCATGTAAAAGGAGCTGGTCCTCTGAGTTTTCGTCTTACAGGACAAGCCAATGATATGCAGTTGTAAATCTGTAAAAACATTTGTGTTATTTACTTTATTTTCTGTTACTAGTACGTACAGTCAAGGGACCTGGTCTCCTGACTAGTAGTAGACTCATACAAGCCAACAATCCCGTATATACCCTGCACAAAAGGGAGTTATCAAGAAGTATGCATCCTCAATTGATGGCTTCCACACTAGTAACTACAGATGTTATTATTCTTTTGAATGACAGTTCCTAAGTAACCTAACGAAAATTATGACAACACTGAATAGATTAAAAGAGACTTCTGTAGAAAATATCCATATTTAGCAAAATAATTATAGGAACAAAATAGACTAATTATGTTAGTAATATATTCTGTACAACCATTTTCCTTATCTGGTTCCGTATTTCTTTCCATCTTACCTATATAAATGTAATAGTGTTTTCACAAGAACATATATAGAAAATTAACCAAAAACTATTCTCTTTATCTACATATTTTTAACATGGTATCAGAGCCATAAGGTCGATCTTCGACGGTTTTTCGTACTCATCATCTACCGGGATCTACCGAAATGGAAGACCCATTGGAAAACCCACCGGAAAATCCAAACCAGCTTATTTCTATGGAACATATGCAACAACTGTTTCAAATGTTCCAAACACTCAACAAAAATTCAACCAACATCGAACCAGGGACTTCACAAACAGTGCGAGTCGCGGAAAAATTGAACTTCACCAACTACACCAAATGGTGTAAACTGATGCAGATAGCAATTGGTGGCCGGGGAAGACTCAATCACATCATCGTCAACCCCATTTCACCAGACGATCCAGAATACCAGCAATGGGCTCAAAAAGATTCGATGGTCATTTCATGGATCATCGAGAATATTGACGGAGATCTCGTGAATCAGTTCTTGGACTACAAAACTGCCCGAGATTTATGGAAAGGCATCGAAACTCTACTCAGTAGCGGCAGAGATGAATTGCAGATCTATGATCTGAACACAAAGGCAACCTCTATGAAACAAGGGATAGACACGATAGAGGTGTATTTCAGCAAATTGAATACCCTCTGGAAAGAAATCGATAGACGAATGCCGAACCCAATGAAATGCGCAGAAGACATCACACTGTTCAACTCATTTATACAACGACAAAGGCTGTACCAGTTTCTGGCTGGTGTAAATGATTCACTTGACAAAGAAAAGCGAGACATCCTGAATTTAGATCCCCTTCCAACCATCGATGCCGCATATGCCACCATCAGACGAGAAATTGCTCGTCGTGGCATAATGACCGGCAACTCATCACTGGAACGAGGTCCCTCAAAGATCGGAAGTGGTCTTGTCACTCAACGCCGATCAGATTCTTCATTTAGCCGGTCGGATTCATCATTCCGGCGAGAGGACAAAACTCACCTCAAATGCAGTCACTGCGGAGGAACCAAACACACCAAGGAAGGATGTTTTAAGCTCATCGGCTACCCGAAATGGTGGGAGGACCTGAGACAGCATAAAGCCACCACCAAGGTAACAAAGACCGGCGGCAAGGCTAACGCTGCCATCGGAGAAGGAGAACCGACCAGCGAGGCTTCGTCAACCACTGTCACCAACAGGCGAACAGGTACCAGCGAGGCTTCGTCAACCAGTGTTACCGACAGGCGAACAGGTACGAGTGGCAAGGATGGGTTCACCAAAGTTTCTGGTGAACCATGGATGGAGACAGAGAAATCGATGGGAAGAAGAAGAGAGAAAATTCTAGAGGAGCCGTCCTTTAGAAATGAAAGTGAGGGAAAACAAGAAGCCCCAAAAAAATCAGACCCTTTAGCCCTTGTTAATCAAAAGCCCAAAAGATCAGAAGCCCAATTATACAAAAAACCCAAGGAAAAACAAAGTGTGGGTCTCATGTGCAATAAGTCCAATTGGATTTTTGACTGTGGGGCCACAGACACTATGTCATACGACCCATCCGATTTTCTTTCCTCCACATCAACTACCCGTACTAAGATTCAAACTGCAAATGGGGAGTTTATTCCAATTACTCAGGCCGGAGATGTGGATATTACATCAGAAATCCATTTAAAAAATTGTCTTTTAATTCCAAGTCTTACCCACAAACTTTTATCTGTTAGTCAATTAACCAAGGAACTAAACTGTACAATTCTAATGACTTCCTCTGATTGTATTGTACAGAATGCTCAGACGGGGCGGATCATTGGTCGTGGTATTGAACGAGGAGGTCTATACTATGTGAACGAGGTGACTCAACAGGGTAACACTTTGCTTGCTCAAGGGTCACCGGAATATCAGATCTGGATGTGGCACCGACGGCTAGGTCATCCGTCTTTAAGTTATCTTAAACGATTATTTCCCTCTTTTAAGGACATTGATTTTGTTTTGGATTGTGAAGCATGTGTACTTGCAAAAAGTCATAAACACTCTTATTCTCCCAGTTCGACTCATGTTTCTAAGCCATTTACCTTAATTCATTCTGATGTCTGGGGTCCTGCACCTGAATTTGCCTTTTATAAATATTCCTATTTTGTTTTGTTTGTGGATGATTGCACCCGTATGAGTTGGGTTTATTTTCTAAAAAATAAATCTGAAGTATATGATGTGTTTATAAATTTCTACAACATGATCTGTACCCAATTTGCTGCCCAACCTCAAATTCTTCGATCTGATAACGGAGGAGAATACATAAACTTAGATATGAAACAATTTATTTCTGATCATGGCCTCATTCACCAGACTACCTGTCCGAATACTCCTCAACAAAACGGGATAGCTGAACGGAAAAACCGAACCCTTCTTGAGATTACTAGAGCCATTATGTTAGAATCCCATGTCCCTGTCCATTTTTGGCCAGAAGCCATTGCCACAGCCACATATCTAACCAACTGACTACCTACCAAACCTCTTGCATACCAAACTTCTCTTGACACTCTTTCTTCCCATGTGTCCATCCCTTCCTATCATTCTCTACCTCCACGGGTGTTCGGATGTGTTGTCTATGTTCATCTCCCAAAAAGAATCAGAAATAAACTTGAACCACGAGCCATTAAATGTGTTTTTATTGGGTATGGGGTTACTCAAAAAGGGTACCGATGCTATGATCCCATTCAAAACAAAATCTACACCAGTCTTGACTGCGAGTTTTTTGAACACTCCTATTACTATACCCAGCCTGGTCCTCAGGGGGAGACTATGAATGATGACCTTAGCTGGTTAATATATCCAGAAATGATGAACCATGATCCTCCAACGCAAGTAAGCAATATCGCCGACGTCAACTCTGAAACATCTGTATCAGCTCTTTCTCCTCAATCCACTCCAATGACAACCACTGAGCACCCTGAGTCAACATCAGTTGAGGTAAATCTGAATCATGTACTGTTCCTACTGACTCTGTGTCTAGTGATAATTGTCAAAAACAGATATGAGCTTCCTCACAGAAGCACGAGAGGTGTTCCTCCCAAAAGGTATGACCCGGAATATGAAGATCAACGGTCCAGATACCCCATAGAAAGAATCAGCAATGAAAACTTGTCCAATACATCTGTTGCCTTCAGTACCTCCCTATACTCAACAAACATTCCCAAAATCGTGGAAGAAGCTTTTGAAGATGAGAAGTGGAGACAAGCCATGAAAAATGAATATGTTGCCTTGGAAAAGAATCACACATGGGAAAAATGTATTCTACCCAAAGGGAAGAAGAAGGTGGGATGTAGATGGGTATTCTCCATTAAGCACCAGGCAGATGGAACTATTGAAAGGTACAAGGCAAGATTGGTGGCCAAGGGTTACACTCAGACTTTTGGGATCGACTATTCAGAGACTTTTTCCCCAGTAGCCAAGATAGACACAATACGGGTATTGTTCTCTGTAGCAGCAAACAAAGATTGGCCCTTGTATTAGTTCGATGTTAAAAATGCCTTCCTCCATGGAAGCATTGAAGAAGAAGTCTATATGGAACCCCCTCCAGGATATTCTCATGACTTTAAAGATGGAGAAGGATGTAAGTTGAAGAAAGCCCTGTATGGTTTAAAGCAGTCTCCAAGAGCTTGGTTTGGAAGGTTCACTAAGGCTATGAAGAAATTTGGGTACAGACAGAGTAATTCTGATCATACTTTATTCATAAAAAGGGCAAATCAGAAAATCACCTGTCTAATTATATATGTAGATGATATGATCATCACCGGAGATGATGAGGAAGAAATTGTTACCTTAAAGGGGAAGTTGTTTCAGGAATTTGAG